GCCCGCCCCGGGCCTGGCGGTCGCCTCTCACCCCTGCGCGCACGCTCTGCCCGCAGCCGCGCTGACAGCTGTCCATTTGTGACCCTCCGCCCCAGATATTTATGGGGCGCCAACAATGAGCCCGCGCTTTGCACAAGGAGAGGGAAAGGCGGAGCCGACCCTAGAGACGAGGGACCATAAGCGTAGAACTGCAGATTGTAATGGGTGTTCTGAAGAAACGGGGGGTGGAGGTGGTGGCGAGAGCGTTTAAATGCGAAGCTGAGGGGTCGCGGGTGGGGGACGGGAGATGAGGCGATGGGCGCTGGCAGGGACGGCGCTCCTGGGAACGGAGGCAGTGTCCGGGCTTGTTGAGAGCACCAAACCGTTCAATCCAGTCCCAAACGCTGCTTTGCTTCCCTAGGACCTCATTCAAGCCCTGGAGCGCACTATCTCATTAATTCTCCCAGTGATCCTAGGAAGTTGGGATCCTGGTTTTCCAGCTGAAGAAGCTGAGCACAGAGAGGGTAGGTAACCTTCTCAAGATTGCACAGCCAGATGCAGAAAGCCAGAAGGCCCGAATCCAAGCCCAAGGTCTGCACTTTTACAAAAATAAAACAAACTGAAGAAAAGCTTCAGGGAGAAAGAACTTGTCCACAGCATGTGGTGGAAAAGGCCCCCAGAGGTAGAGGACAGGTATGAACCTGGTGTTTGCAGGAAAGGCGCCCACTCAAAGGCAGGGTGGTTCACACAGCTTCAGCCCTCCAAAGTCCTCACGCCCAGCCCAGCTCAGATCACAGAGCCCAAGGCCTTTGAGACGCTCAGTCAGTGAGGCAGGCTAATAATTCTCGTTTTTCTTCAGTGTACAAAACAAATGAAAACAAAAACTGCTGTTTACAACTGCCTAAAATGATTTCATGACCCACTAGGACAAGCCCCTGCAGTATGCAAGCCACTGGCCTCTGTGCCGCCCCAAAGGTGGAGAATTTGGCCTCTCAGGGACAAAGCTGAGCTACAGGGGTAGCGGGGTGGGAGGGTAGACAGCGGCTGGGCACTGGTTGCTCCGAGTTAGCTGGGGTGGCAGATTGCATTTTCTCAAAATGGTCAGAGCGATGTTTCTGATTCTACATGTCTTCCAGAATTGCCCATGCCCATCAAGACACTCTGCAGCTATACTCCTGCTTGAACCTGGGCAGGGCACATGGCTGAAGACGTGCTCTGTGACTTCCCAAGCTGAGTCCCCTGGAGGATTTAGCTGTCCCTCAGAAAGCTCCCTTGGAACCCAGCCTCCCTGTGTGAGGCAGCCCAGGCCACTCAAGAGGCCACTCATGTGTGTCCTTTGAGATCCCCCCACCCCCACCTCCTGTGGGGTGGTATGTGGAGCCAAGATGACCTGTCCCCATCCAGTCCTGGCCGAGTTGCAGATTCATGAGCAAAACAGATACTGTCACTACATTAAGCCACTACATTTTGGGGGTAACCTATTATGCAGCCACAGTAATTGTAATAGTGGTTATTGTTTAATAATTGTCCTTGTTGAGAGATGAATAAATGTCTTCAGAGAAACTCTTGTCAAAGGGGTCCCAGGGGCCAGTGTTTATTTATTTTTAACTTTTCATTAAGAACATTTTCAAAGCAAAGTAGAGAGAATAAGACAATTAACCCGCATGTACCCATCACCCTATTCAGCGATTCCCATGATGGCTGATCTTGTTTTTTTTTTACTCTTGGTCACCTCCACATGACATCACTTCATAGGTAAATATTTGACTATTTATCTCTAAGAGAGTCTAGTCTTCTTAAGCACTCTGTCATCCTAACACTCAGGTCTCTGCTGAGCTGGTCCAGTGGCCCGAGGCAGTCCACCTGGGGCAGTTACCCTGGACAACCAAGTAAGTGCGTGTTAGGAAGAGCCAAATGTTAGACAACATGGTCAGTGGTTGGTGGGTATTAATATTTGCTCTGGATTTTTCAGGAAACTCAGATGCCATTTATCTGGGTTTCTGAGCTGCACAGCTTGATGCTGAATAAAAGTATCTTAAGCCATGGATGTGAAGAAAAGTCTCTTTTCTGAAAAAGAAAAAATCTGAACTCAAATCCAATAGGAAAAGCACAGGTCGCTGTGGACCTTGTCGGGAGCCCAGGGTGGCCCGAATTATCCATCTCTGCCGTCCGTGCTGATGGACCAAGCGACTCTATTGGTTTGTGATGAATGAATACCCTGTCTGGTTATCCTGAGCTAACCCTCTGATTCTCGCCCTCTTTGCTGAAAGGAATTATTGTTAATGCATTTATTTAATTCAGGACTCCCAGAATTAAAGCAAAAGCCAATCAGCATGAGGCACCTAGCATTTTGGGTCTGCAAAGTAAGTGTTAAACCATAATAATTACTCTGCTGTGTTACTGGGCTGCATTGTCTTGCCTGCCAAATCCCCTCTGGGAGGCCCTGGCCTTGGGGAGGTGGCCCCTATCAGGCCAGTTGCTCTGGCACAGAGGCTCAGGCTCTTGGCTGCCCAGGTACAGTGACAGGACCAGACCTCACAAAGGCCCCAGGGCCTGCTATAAATAAAACTCAGGACTATACAAGCTGGGTCAGTGCAGTTCCACTGTGCAGGTAGGGCTGGAGTGGGCAAACAGGAAGCCCTGCAGGCTCATCCTGTGGCTCTCAGATCCTGGCCACTGTGTGGGTGTCTGAGGTCTGAGCAAGCCCAGCTAATAAGGCTATTTTGCCCTGGGAGGGACAGTCAGACTCAGGCCGTTGTCTTTCTTCATTACACTCTGTCCCCATCTTAACTCTCCAGGGGGAGAAGCTTCTAGAATCTTCTTCTTCCCAAAACAGATGAGAAAAACATGACCTGCTTCAAAACCACTAGTTAGGAAGATGCTGAAGTTGAGTGCAGAAAAGACCATAAACCATAAGTATGTATAAAGATGGGCACCTGCTTATGATAAACTCTCAGCTTTCTGAGTGACAGAGTGATACATGTAGGTAATAGTGCGGTGGCAGGGATCAGAAATTCACTTTGGAAATTGTAAACTGGTGAGGAAAGGAACCTGGTAACTCTCGTTTCTTCTGCCTGTCTGGAATACTCCGACAGAGGTTTCTGGTGTTCCCCCCACCCCAGGTGAGAACAGGGCCCACAGGGGACCTCTTCAGGCAGAGCAGTTTATTTTTGTGAAGAGGACACATGCTGATTTCAAAAGTTTGCAGCTAGCTGGAATGTATTTTTCTTTCTTACTGTTACTTCTAAAGGATTGTGGAAACTTGGCTGTCTCCCATCCTCATCAGGCCAGAAGGGAAGGGATCTTCAAGATGGGCAATGGCGGGCGCGACTCTGAAGGGGGGGAGGGGGGGGGGGGGGGGGGGGTGCGGTCAGGCTCAGTGGCACCGTCCTAGCCCAAATTTGAATCTAATTGCTGTCCTCCCTCCTTCACTGAAGGCATCTTTACTGAGCGCCTGCTGCGTACTGTCCTGGGCACTGCGGGTAAGAAGGGGGCGAAACAATTTTCCTCCCTTCACGGAACTGAAGTTTATTGGGGGAGACCGGGAGTGTAAACGTACATCCCATAGGGAAACGCGTCTCGAGGCGTCGGAGAAGTCAAAAGTGGATGATGCCCAGCTGCAAGCAAATCCTACCGGACTCGCGTAAACCCTGGGTGGGCCCAGGGCTTGTTGCTAGGGACGCGCTCCCGCTGTTGCCAGGGCCTGTAGAAGTGGGCGGAGTCTCGCGAGGATCTTCGATATTTCGTGCGGGATCTCACAGCGGTTGCTGGGAGACGGCGCAGCTTCCGCGGCGCCGGCGCTCGGGTCTGTAGGTCGCGGCGCGGCCGGACGTCCGGAGCCATGGTGAGGAGGGCCGGGTTAGGCCGTGGTTGCCGGCCTGCGGGCGGAGAGACCCCGGACGGGGAGGCCTGGGTCCCTAGGTCCCTGGAATTGGGGACTTGGTGCTCTCGTGGGGACAGCCCCCTGGGGAGAGCGGATTCCCGGATCCCGCACGCACTTGTACTGAGAGATCTGGGCCGTCCAGGGTCCTGTGTTCACAGGGGCGGTCCTAGAACCGCCCCGCGCTTCCCCCCACGACCGAGGCTCCGAGGGCAAGCTGTCCAGAAGGGAGAACCCGCGTCCAGCGATGCCCTTCCTGGAATGGAGGGCTCCGTCAGTCAGAGCTTTGGGGCCTAGGGTCTGACCTCACAGGGTCCCACAGTGGGGTGCAGGGGTACCTTAGCACCTCCAGTCGCTGGGATGGAGAGTCTGGAGGCGGGCCACAGTGGCTAGAGATCCCTCTGCATCCATGGGGTGCCCAGGGCAGCGCCTGGGGTACGGGAACTGCCGTTTCCTTGGAGAACCTCCGAGGAGTCAGGCCTGTGCTGAGCAGCAAGGTGGGAGCTCGTTGCCTCACCAGCTCTCCACCGGGTCTCTCAGGTAGGAGGGCCCTCAGCCAACCCCCCCCACCCCCCAATAAGGAGTTGTTGAGACCTTGGTTTCCAGGCAGGTGCAGCAGGGTGGGCGTCACTAGTGGGCAGGACGCCTCTGATGGGGTGGGCTTGGAGTCAGGGTGAGAAAGGGGGCCGATGCGCATTCGGGGTGAAGATTGCACTGCGTGGTTCTTTGAAAATCCCCTGGTAAAAGACCAGCAAACTGCTTCTACCAGTTATTAACTCACGGGGATATGCATGCTTTTCTTCTCTTTCTTTTCCTCTTTCTCCTCTTCCCTTTTTCTCCATGCTTGCTAAGATTTCCACATAATTTTTTTTCATGAACATAAAAATGTTACGGAGACACGTAGATGCAGACACACAAGCATGGGCCACAGGGAGTTGGTGGGAGTGAAGGCAGAAGGACGAGGTGTGGGTGCGACATCGGGGACGTGAGAGGGGGTGGAAGCTTCTCTCTCATCTTGTGAGTTGGTGACAGCAAGGGGGGACACCAGAGCTGCTGCGGAGGTAGCCCTCTGGTCCAGGGGCTGGGGACAGATTCACACTCGGAGGGAAGGGAGCCTTCAGGCAGCTTCTCCCGGCCACTGAACAGTTGTGCAGGTTTCTCTGTGGTGGTCACCAAGCGTAATGGCCCATGTGGTGACATTGGACACTGGCATTGGGGTTCTTCCTTTTGAGGCCAAGTAAATTTTGCACCCACACCAAGGCAGTCTCTGCCCTGTGTCAAGAAGTGTGTTTGGGACGAAGCCCCTCCCTTCCTTTCAGGGGAGGAGACGCTCTCTTGAAAAGGGAGGTGTCTCCTTCTCCACAGGTGTCAGCAGAGAATGTGAGTGCACTTAGGGGTGGGACCCCATAAGGTGGAGCGATGGGCTCCGGGTGGGCGTGTTCAGCAGTGAGAGGCTGATGGCGTCCCTGGCCAGGCACGCTGCTCCCAGATGACCCCGGGCGGGAAACAAAGCCAGCCAGAAGGTGCGGGCACCACACAGAGCCTCCCTTCCTTACCCAGTCATCTCTTCTTTAACCGAAGGCACCCAAAAAGAAGGGGAAGAAAGGGAAAGGCAAAGGCACCCCGATCATTGACGGGCTCGCTCCGGAGGACATGAGCAAGGAGCAGGTGAGCGGGCAGTGCGCCTCGCCCAGCCCTGGGTGGGTGGGGCAGTCTGCTTCGTCTCTGGCCTTCTGTCTCCGTGAACCTCTCAGACAAGTGCCCGCTCGTCCTGCCCTGCCTCTTGGTCCATCTCCCTACAGCCGGGCTCCTGCGGCTCTGCCCAGGCCCGCCTGGCCTTCGCGGTCCCCGTGGCCTTCGCTTTGTCCAGACTCGCCTGGCCTTCCCGGTCCCCGTGGCCCTCGCTTTGTCCAGACCCGCCTGGCCTTCCCGGTCCCCATGGCCCTCACTCTGTCCAGAACCACCTGGCCTTCCCAGTCCCCGTGACCCTCACTCTGTCCAGGCCCGTCTGGCCTTCCCGGTCCCCGTGGGCCTCACTGGCACTCTCACGTGCAGTGCATATATTTTTTTAATGCAGTGCAGCCACATCGAATAACTTTTTTACACAGTGCCAGGGATTTGGAAGGGAATGTTTTCCTGATACAAAAGCTATTTTTAGATTTCTGTGTGTCTTTTCAATCTTATCCTTTTATGCCCCTGAGCTTCACAGAGGTATTATCATAGTACATGCATCTATAGTGTTCTCGTTTACCATTTTATTTACCATTAAACAATAGGAATTATTTTAAGCTACTTGTCCATTTTGATGAAGTTAAGGGCTAAAGGACATAATTATATAATGACAGTTTTAATTAAAAGGCTCCTAAAAACTGTAGCCTGTTGCAAACCACGAGAGCAAGTGTGGCGCCTCCTCCAGACTTTGTTACTGACGACCGCCTGTGAGCATCTGACGGGGGTTAAGAGTGGCTTGATTTTACAGCAGGCCCTCAAATGACATCGTGTTGTAATGTGGCTGAGATGCTGGGAAGCCTGGACTCTGGTTTATGGCATCAGCCTGTGGTGACACTGGTTTCCTTGTACGCCGTTTCTCTTAAAGTCACAGCCTATCGAAGACGTTAAGTGAGGACTTACCACACATGCAGGGAGCCAATGGTAGTTTAAGTGGAGGGTGGTGGGGCCCAGTTTGTGTTCTGGAGGGTCACTGCGGCTGGTCTGTGCAGAATGGGTTGTACATCGCGTTGCCTCAGCAGTTGAGATGTATCTTATCTTACTGTTTACTTCCCGTCCCTGTGCAGACGGAACTGTGACATGGCGGTGGTGGGTCCGCAGAGCCTCGCCATTGCAGGTCCGAGGCATGAACACCTTGGAGGCGTCCAGTGCCAGGAGGGGTGAGGGGCTGGGCACAGCTGCAGTCAGTTCAGTGTTTGGTTACCTTGTGGGCGTTGGGCTGCCGTGCTGTTTTCTGATTTGTTAAGAGAAGCTAGAAATCTGGATATTTATAAGAAATCTAAATATTGAATGATGGCAAAATCTAACAATGTGAGCCAATCATAGTAGGGGGGAACCTGTTTTAGACTGTGAGTGACGCGAAAGGTCCCTGACGCAAAGATGTTGTCATCTGCTGAGGTCCTACTTGGATGCTAGGGTACTGTGTCTCCCTCATGGGGAGTCATGCCCGACCTGGGGACCTTACCTCCTTGGCTCTCTTGAAGTGAGAAATGTCTTCTCTGGGGAAGGGCTGTCAGCGAGGAAAGCTGCAGTGGGTGGCCTGAGGTTGTGCTCAGATCACCGGGAGCCTGCCCAATTTTTTTTTTTACCTATTTGCTGATTGACAGTTGGCTCTGGACCAAACTTTTTGTCAGGGGTCTACTGGATTTGTTTAGTTTTTGCTTACCATATATTTTTAAAGGCGAACTTTTTTTCATTCTGCATTATTTTGCGAATGTGTTTGCATCCTGCTGTATTATTTTCATTTCTGTATATCTTTGGGCCATATAATCTTGTAGTTGGTATGCTCTAATTTCTCAGCCATTTCTGTATTTAAAATCATATTAGATCATTTCCTTTTTTATTTTTTTTTGCTGTTTTAATAACAGTGTGGCTAATATCTTTGAGCAGAAAGCTCTTGTGTTCTTTTGAGAAATTTCTGTAGTATAAATTCCCAGGAGTGTATGAAAGGATATAAATGTGTTTTGATTATTGGCCAAATTCAAGAGAATTTTGCTGTTTACTGAATGTGTCCCGTCCCCAGAGGCTTCCTAACTTTTTATAGCTCTCATGTTTTTAGATGAGTAGCCTTCGTCCTCCCAAGGCCCCTCCCACACTCTGCCATGCCCCGCCAGGTGGAGGAGCACGTCAGCCGCATCCGGGAGGAGCTGGACCGTGAGCGGGAGGAGCGCAATTACTTCCAGCTGGAGCGGGACAAGATCCACACGTTCTGGGAGATCACGCGGAGGCAGCTGGAGGAGAAGAAGGCTGAGCTGCGGAACAAAGACCGGGAGATGGAGGAGGCCGAGGAGAGGCACCAGGTGGAGATCAAGGTGAGTGGGGCCACCGCAGAGATGCTGGAGGGGGCGGGGGCACTTCCTCTCCTTGCTTTAGGGGCCTTTGTTTGTGTCCTTTACACTGGAACCTGGAGATATTTTTTATAAAAGTGCATGCACGTGCAGGTGTGTGTACATGTGCAGGTGAGTGTATGTGTGCAGGTATGCGTGTGCAGGTGAGCGTGTGTGTGCAGTGAATGTGTGTGCAGGTATGTGTTGTTCGTGCAGCTATGTGTGTGCAGGTGAGTATGCATGTGCAGGTGAGTGCGTGTGTGCAGGTGAGCATGTGTGCGTGTGCAGGTGAGCATGTTTGCATGTGCAGGTGAGTGTGTGCAGGTGAGCATGTGTGCGTGTGCAGGTGAGTGTGTGTGCAGGTGAGCATGCGTGTGCAGGTGTGTGTGTGCAGGTGAGCATGCGTGTGCAGGGGTGTGTGTGCAGGTGAGCATATGTGTGTAGGTATGTGTGTGCCTGTGCAGGTGTGCCTGTGCAACTGAGCGTGTGTGTGCAGGTGAGTAGGTGGTACTCCTCCTGCCTGTAGGTCTACAAGCAGAAGGTGAAGCACCTGCTATACGAGCATCAGAACAACCTGACGGAGATGAAGGCTGAGGGCACCGTGGTCATGAAGCTGGCCCAGAAGGAGCACCGCACGCAGGAGGGCGCGCTGCGCAAGGACATGCGGGCGCTGAAGGCGGAGCTCAAGGAGCAGGAGCTGGCCAGCGAGGTGGTGGTGAAGAACCTGCGGCTGGTAGGTGTCTCCGCTGGCTGTTGGGGACAGCGAGCTCCTGATGGTTCAGTAGCAACTGGGAATTCACATTCTTGTTTAAAAGCTCCCGCATTTTGGCAATTAGTTGAAATAGTAAAAAAAAAAGCGTGCATCCAAACAGACCCACTTTGGGGGCCAAATACAGAATTCTGTCTCAGACTTGAGCCACAAATTCACATGAGGCAAATCCAGCCCCGGGCCCCTCTCCGTGTGTGTCAGGTGTGTTTGGAAACACAACCATTAGAGTGTCCTGCATGCCATTCCCTAGGCTTCTACCCAGTTTGTCATGCGAGGTGGGCTTATGAGTCCTTGGCTGACTTTTGAGATCTTTGGTCCATTCTGGGGGAGGCTGGGGGGATGGGGGCGGTTCTAGGTGGAGGCTGACACTTGTTTGCTGAGTGCCTATAAGATACCAGGCCCTGTTCTGATCTCTGGGGCCTCCAAGGAGCAGGATTGACACATGTAGCTGATGGTCTGGAGAGGGGAGACTGCACTAGCAGAGCAGACGAGGTGTCGGGTGCACACAGCACACCCCAGGGCGTAAGTGCTGGAGGGAGAACATGTTTGGGGCAGGGGGCTGCTGGGATGAGGGGCGTTGCATTTCTCTACAGGGAGTTCTGGGAATGCCACACTGAGAAGGCGACTTTTGGGCAAAGGCACGAGGGGCTGAGCCAGGCTGGGGGGACCAGGCCAGGAGAAGGGATAGGTAGTGGGCCATGCAAAGGCCTAGAGGAGCGAGGGGTCTGGAGGACGGGGGCATTGACCCTGGCTGAGCCGGGGGCCTGTGGCAGGTTTGGGCAGAAGGAGGATGTGTCTGACTTTGGGTTTCAAAGGCCCTTCCTGGCTGCAGGCTGAGAATACTTTGTGAAGGCAGCTGAGCCTCAAAGGGATCTGGGAAAGCTCAGTAACGTCACAGACTTCGCACCGGAGACGAAGGGAGTGCAAGTCTTGGACCTTCAAGCATCCTTCCTGATGGAAGCACACAAAGGGCTGGTTCCCAGTGACCCCGGCGGTGTGAGGCTGTCTGCTCACCCGAAGCCATGCAGCAGCATGTGGCCAGAGTGCCCTTTTTGTGTAGAAATGTCACTCTAAAAAATAATTAGGGCCATTTGAGCCATCCTTCTCTTGCTCAGGCCTACTTCCACTTCTGGAAGTGTACTTACCCTTCTAATAAAACTTTACTTTTCTACTGTAAAAAAAAAAATTATTCAGAATTTTTATATAGTAATTGTCTTGAAATGATTTTTAACGTTGCTCTGAGCTCTAGCTAAAGTCGGTCAGCAGGCACCTGGAGAGAGCCTGCAGGTCTGTGCAGATGGCACCCTCCATCCCGCAGGGGGCCAGGCGGGGGGCCGTGTGTGGTCAGTGCCTGGAATGTCCGTTAACATTCTCGGAACCTCAGAGGCGACTTTAGCCAAGGGCCGTGAGTTATGAAATGCGGAGGCCCCCTATCCATGTTGTTCTGGGCATGGCCGATGAGCTTGGAGACGAGGGGATGGCACCCACTGGAAGCCACATGGGGTGTACTGAGCCTGACTCTGCACCGTGAGGAGCAGGGCCAGCCCCTCTCTGTCGCCTAGTAATGTCCTGCTTCTGCCTTTGCAGAAACACACTGAGGAGGTCACTAGAATGCGGAACGACTTTGAAAGGCAAGTGCGAGGTCAGTGTCTCACGCGTGTGTCGCGGGAGGTGGCGCGGGAGGTGGGGCGGAGCCATCAGAAGGCAGATCACCGCTGGGCCTGTGAGCGCAAGGCTCAGGCCAGGTGTGCAGGGAGAAAAGGGTGTGCAAGGCGACAGGCCATCAGAGCCCTGGCGCAGCGACCTTCCATGGGAGCTGGGGGCCGTGGTTACCACCCAGACCGGTGGCCAGGAGCAGATGCTGGTTACTCAGTCTCGTGGGCAGTGTTCTTAGGGTGGTCTTTTCCAGGGGTCCTGGCCTGAGGAGGCTCCATCTCAGAAGTCTGTCTGGTTAATAATTGAGCCCTTGGACCGTGGCTAGTACCACTAGGGTCAGTGGATGCTCAGCTGTTGAGAAGCCCCATGCAGGGCTTGGTCAGCAGCGCCAGCCACAGGCAGAGGACAGCGGATGGCGGTGTGGGCTGGACGTGTCCTCTGTGGGCGTCGTGGGAAAGCACTCCGCCTCAGCCCACCCGCTCTGCGGCAGGCCTTGCTTCACGGCCTCTGTCCGGGAGCGGCTTGTTGGGTAGCACGGGCCCAGCTGCGCTGCACCTGCTGAGCTGCGCTGTTGGCTGCCGCCTTGCAGAAATCGAGGCCAAGTACGACAAGAAGATGAAGATGCTTCGGGATGAGCTTGACCTGCGGAGAAAGACCGAGATCCACGAGGTGGAGGAGAGGAAGAACGGCCAGATCAACATGCTTATGCAGCGGCACGAGGAGGCATTCACCGACATCAAGAACTACTACAACGACATCACGCTCAACAACCTGGCCCTCATCAATTCCCTCAAGGTGCTGCGCGGGCCGGGCTGGTGTGCCGACAGCTCCCGACCCGTCAGACCCAGCACCCCGCCTGTGAAAATACTGATAATGCCCCTCAGTGCCCTTGACTGAAGCTCACGGGTGAGGCAGCTTCTCTGTGCCCGTAGCTGAGAGCAGTCAGGACACTGCCTCACCTGTAGCCGATGGGTACGGGCTCGGGCAGACCGCAGTGGGGCTGCAGCACGCGGCACAGGCAGGCATCATTGTCACCCAAGTGCTGGCAGTGATAGGGTTCCCACAATGCCCCTTGGGGCATCCTGAACACATCTCATGGAACTACATTTTGGAAAATTCAGAATAAGTTAAAATTGTGCAGAACACTCTGTGTTTACACATAAATCAGATCTCGGTGGTCCGCATGTGAGCCGCCGGCAGGCACGGTCTTGGGGCAGGGGGGGCCGCAGGCCCTAAGGCTGCCTGCTGAGCCCTCCCGCACCCGACCTGTGCTGACAGGAGCAGATGGAGGACATGCGGAAGAAGGAGGACCACCTGGAGAAGGAGATGATGGAGGTGTCCATGCAGAACCGGCGCCTGGCAGACCCCTTGCAGAAGGCTCGGGAGGAGATGAACGAGATGCAGAAGAGGCTCGGGAACCATGAGAGGGACAAGCAGATCCTGGTGGTGAGTTTCTGCCGAACTCACCCTTGGCTCTGGAGAGAAGGGCCGTCAGCCCACCCACGGCTGAGGCCCAGGGCCCGGCGAGAGGGGTCTGACCCTGGACTGGGGCTGCAGCCCGACCCTGGACTGGGGCTGCAGCCCAACCCTGGACTGGGGCTGCAGCCCGTGTGCTGTGAGAGGCGTCCCGTGGGACTGGGCCACTTATGCCTTTGAGCCTGTTCTTTCTGGTTGTTATTTTTGGCCTTGCCACCTCTTGGGGGCCCACATTACGATTACGTGGCTGCCCGAATGCTGAGTGCTTCCTGCCCCCACCTTCTTTTCTCTCCAGTGCACAAAAGCACGTTTGAAAGTCACGGAGAAGGAGCTCAAGGCCCTGCAGTGGGAGCACGAGGTGCTGGAGCAGCGGTTCGTCCAGGTGAGTGGCCCGCAGGCCGGGCTCCAGGCGCAGAGGGGCCCTCCCTGGTGCCTGCCTGTCTGCTTCTCGAAGGCCTTCACGCCGGGCCGGGCTTCTGGGTTCGGAAGTGGGAGGCCCCACCACCTGCCCCTCTGCCCTCAAGACGCAGAGGCCTGTGGCACGTCCTGTAGGTGGCCTGGGGTCTCGGGTGGGCTCCCTGGTGGGGAACAGGTTGCCCACCCCTTGACGGTCATGGAGGTAGCATCTTTTCTGCCACGTACACGTTTCTAAGTCCTGTCACGCACACACTGTGGGCTCACGGACTCCTGGGTCTGTAAGGAAGCGGGAAGGCCCTCCTGCTGCCCCGTGCTGGTCCTCACAAGGGGTGGTGGCTTCCAGAGTCCCCCAGGCCTCCTCCTGTGTCCTCATGTAGCTGTGGCTTCGTGCTTCACGGAGAGTGGGGTCACCCCTGGAATGCCCCCAGGTGGCACCTGCAATGTGGCTTTGTCCTCACATCCATTTCTTGCTCCCCGGCGAGTGCTCGTCCGTTGAGCCGGTCCCGTGAGGGACAGCTGCTTCAGTCCCTCGCTGTTACTGGCGTCACCACTACAATGTGTGCAGCTGTGTGACCATCTCAGGAAAGTCCCCTCCTCGCAGTGGGATTACTGGGCCAGGAGGTTCGCATTCGGGTTTCAAGCAGAGGCAGCTGAGAGGGCTGTTCTGAGCTCGTCGCGCACAGGGCCCACGAGGCCTCCTCCCACCCGCACGCACCGCAGAACCTCGCCGACGTGGCTGGGTGGAAGCGTCTCCCAGACGCGCGGTTCTGAGGTGTCTGGTGAGGCAGGGACGCCCTCCTTGCGCCCGTGCCGTCTGCGGGGTCTGCCATCTCCGTGAGCTGTGGCGCGGGCAGCGTGCTTTTTCACTCACCTACTGAAATTCACAGCCGCATAGGACGATGATAGGTTGGGCCCAGTTCCGTCCCATACACGTGCAGGGACGTCCATCATGTCAGACCTAGATTAGGCTTCTTCAGAGATGCCTACGAAGGGCCTGCAGGCTGATGAACGGGCCGAGCAAAGGAGTCACAGCAGATGTTCGCTTGGCAGCCTCTGGGAGGCGGGGTCAAAGGGTGTTCACTTTTCACATTTCTATAGAGTCCTGGTTTTTCCACAGTTAACAGTAACAGGAGATGAAAGATACGGTTGATTGAAAGGCAGTTGGCTCCAGGGCTGTGCTCTAGATCTGTTTGTGGGGCACGTCGACTTGGGCTTCTGGGACCAGGGGCAGAGGAGGTCAGTCCCCAAGAGGCCCCCCAAACACCACCTGCTAGAGTTTGTTGCCCGTGTCCGTCTTGAGCCCACTGCTCCAACCTAGGGTCAGGTCCACCTGGGGCCTCTCCAGGCCTTGCCAGTGAGCCCTGTTGCTTCCTGAGACAGCGTCCTACGGAGGGTCCAGCCAGTGTTTCTTCCTCCTCGACAGGTGTGGATAGCTGCGCTCTGTCACGGAGTGGGGGTGTGGGCTCTGGTGTAGACGCAGACTCGCCTGCCCGCGGGTGGCACCGGTGTAGCCGACACCGAGAAGGTGTTGGCTCTGCTGTAGGGCGTCCTGGCACGGAGCAGAGGGCGAGGGGCTTCTTGCCGCGAGAGGCCCCAGGAGCGCCGTGTGACCCCCCCACCGCCCGTCTGCAGGTGCAGCAGGAGCGGGACGAGCTGTACCGCAGGTTCACCGCGGCCGTCCTGGAGGTGCAGCAGAAGGCCGGCTTCAAGAACCTGGTCCTGGAGCGCAAGCTGCAGGCGCTGAGCACCGCCGTGGAGAGGAAGGAGGTGCAGTTCAGCGAGGTGCTGGCAGCCTCCAACCTGGACCCCACGGCCCTGACGCTCGTGTCCCGCAAGCTGGAGGTAGGCCGCACGCGGCTCCTGGGGAGGGCTGGGCCGCGCCCCATGCTGCTGCCCCCAGCACGTGGTCTGGACTCTGGTCGGGGCCCCTTGTCTTGCTTCTGTGATCTCTGTGCAGATCCTCAGCCGTGGGGAGCATCTCCCAGGCCTGGGCTACCAGGCCCCCACCCTCTCACTGGCTTTTCTCTTATCTGAGGTCACCCTAGCCCCTTCTTCACCTATGGGTCAGCTCAGCCGTCAGGCCCTGGGTCTCAAGCCATTCTCGAACCTCTGGGCCCAATCTTGGGCTTCTGGAGGCCGACAGACACAGGCCTGGGGACAGCTGAGTCTCCTGTACTCAGCGAGACCGCTGCCAGCATCCCCCTGGACACTACGGTGGCCTGCTCTGCGTGTGCGGTCAGGGCAGGGAAGCCCAGGCCTTTGTGGGGGTGCCAGGGATGGCTGCCCAGAGGGGTCACATCTGGACAGAGGTTAGAGCCTTCATTCACTCGAGTCCAGTTCTTTGGGGGTACTCCTCGGTGCTAGGACTGTCCTGGGCACAGGGGACAACAGTAAACAAGACAGATGAGGCCTCAGTGCCCACGGGTGGCTGGGTCAGCTGATACACCAGTACTGTGGCTGCTGCTGGATCTGCTGTCTCTGTGTGAACCACCGTGAGCACAGCGCTGGCAGCTGAGGGACCTTCCTGCCTCTGATCCTGGGAAGGACAATTGGTCCTGTGGCTGGATGAGGCCCTGTGCTGCCAGTGAGTGGCATGGGGGATAAACAGCCCTGCCCTGGGTCCCTGCAGCAGTGCCGTGGGCCAGGGTGGCTGTGCGTCAGCTCTCGCCTTCCCTGGTCAGTTACCCAGCTTCGTAGGCGGGAACTCTGTGCCAGAGCGACTTCCAGGCAGCAGGTGGGGGTGTGAGGGGCACCCCCCCGGGCCGCAGTGGCAGTGGGGGTGGCTCCAGAATCAGCCAGGACCGCCCGTCTCATCTCTTACCACTCAGACGGAGTTCTCGTGGAGAGGCAGGTCCTGTGTCATC